AGATCAAACACCGCATGTTCTCACTCATAGGTGGGTATTGAACAATGAGAACACATGGACACAGGGAGGGGAGCACTACACACTGGGGTCAGTTGGGGGGAAATAGGGGAGGGACGGTGGTGGGTGGGGAGCTGGGGAGAGATAGCAAGGGGAGAAATGCCAGATGTAGGTGATGGGGAGGAAGGCAGCAAATCATGTGGCCATGTGTGTACCTATGCAACAATTTTGCATGTTCTTCACATGTACCCCAAAACCTAAAATGCAATAAAATAAATAAATGGGGGAAAAAAAGATTTAAAAAATTCTTAGCTTGAACATGTAAGAAAAGTAAAAATATATATCTGAAAGACAATATCAAGGATATGGCCAAGTGAATATTTGATAAGGAGACTAATATGAATACAAGGAAGTCAGATGTTATTCTTCAAGACAATGAAAGAATGTATTAGTTCATTCTCATGCTACTAATAAAGACATACCTAAGACTGGGTAATTTCAAGATAAAAAGGGGTTTAATGGACTCACATTGCCACATGGCTGAGGAGGCCTCATATTTATGGCAGAAAGAGGAGGAGGAGCAAAGGCACATCTTACATGGCAACAGGCAAGAGAGCGTGTGCAGGAGAATTGCCCTTTATAAAACCATCAGATCTTGTGAGACTTATTCACTATCATGAGAACAGCACAGGAAAACCCACCCCCATGATTCAATTACTTCCTACTGGGTCCCTCCAATGACATGTGGGAGTTATGGGAGCTATAATTTAAGATGAGATTTGGGTGAGGACACAGCCAAACCATATCAAATAATGACCCAGAAGGTATTCTGGAGATTTTTGGTGCCACCATTTGCATCACAGGCTCAGAATACCAGGACACTGAGGGCAGAACAGTTTTAAGAAAAATGCACAGAGTGACCATGGGAAACCTTGAAGCTAACTCTTCAACACTGTCTCAAGTCTCTACTACCTGAATTCCAGTGCAGTGATTTTTAGCCACTTCAACTGTGGCCAAAATGGGCCAGGTACAGCTCAGTCCGTTGCTCTAAAAGGCACAAGCCATAAGCCATGGCAGCTTCCATATGTTGCTAAATCTGAAGGTCCACAGAGCTGCTGAGGCATGGCTACCTCCATCTGAATTGCAAAGGATGCCTCCAAGAGCCTTGGGGCTCAGGCAGAGAAATGCTACAAAAGTAGGACCATCACAGAGAATCCTCAGTGGGGCAATGCCTGGTGGATTCACAGCTTAGGAACCATCCCCAAGATCTACAGAACTGTAGATCCACCAGTATGCAACTCCAGCCTGGGAGAGCTCCAAGGAATGGGCAGTTACCCATGGGAGCTGCATAGGCTGCACTGAGCAAAGCCATGATGGTGGGGTCCCCTGAAAACCCAGGTACTCAGCCACTGCCATAGTGCATCTGGAAAGTGAGGCTGGGAGACAGAAAGGGTTATTTTCAAGCCTCTAGATTTGAAATAGTTTGTATTATTGGGTTTTGGACTTACTTAGAATCTATTATTCCTTTCTTTGTTCCTATTGCTTCCTTTTGGAATTGAAATGGCTGTCCTATGCTTGTCCCAACATTGTATTTCAGAAGAACATAACTTCTTTGATTTCACATGCTCACAGCTGGAGAGTAATTTTCCTTCGAATGAATGACACACTGAGTCTCACTCATATCTGAATAGATAATATTTAGATGAGACTTTGGAGTTAAACTTTAAAGTTGATGCTAAAACAAGTTAAGAATGTTGGTACTATTGGGATAGAATAAACATATTTTATATATGAGAAAAACATGCATTTGTGTAGGGGCACAGGGACAGAATACTATTGTTTGAATACTTTTTTCCCTTCCAAAATTTATATTGAAACTTAATTCCCAATGCAACTGTATTAAGAGATAGGGCTTTTAAAAGGTGATTAATTCATGAGGGTTCCTCCCGGTGAATGGAATTAGCACTGTATTGTATTGGTATTAGTGATACTCTTTTTATCGCGTTGTTAAGGTAAATTAAGAAAAAAGCCCCCAGTGTTCAATTTGAATTGGAAATAGCATAAAATCATTATTAGTGTTTGAATGTGAATTGCACAAAAAGCTTTATTTGAAAGATGGGGGCCGGCGCCGTGGCTCACCCCTGTAATCCCAGAACTTTGGGAGGCCGAGATGGGTGAATCACCTGAGGTCAGGAGTTTGAGACCAGCCTGACTAACATGGTAAAACCTCGCCTCTACTAAAAATACAAAAATTAGCTGGGCGTAATTAGTGGCGGGCACCTGTAATCCCAGCTACTCGGGAGGCTGAGGCAGGAGAATCACTGGAACCCAGGAGGTGGAGGTTGCAGTGAGCTGAGATTGGGCTATTACACTCTGGCCTGGGTGACAGAGTGAGACTCCATCTCAAAAAAAAAAAAGATGGGGAAAACCAAGTGGCTTATCTTCAAGTCCTGAAGGCATTGGCATCAGGCTTGGGGCATCTGGGTGTCTTGTGCAGATGAGACACGGTTAGGGATCTGAAGTGAGAGTCAGACCACACAGTCTGCTGCATCGGGACAGGGAATCTGGGCCAGGGTTCACGGTGACTGTCAGAGCCTGGCTTTACCCTTGGCATTGAAACAGTGGGTGGTGAGCTAAGGCTACTGGTGGCTCTAGGTACTGAATATCATCCACAGCCACAACTAAAGCCAAGGGTTATTTACAACCAACACTGGACAATGTTTAAATTCACTGAATGATCTAACAAAAATCAAGTGATGATGGTTTACGAGCAGTGAGCTCAGCTAGAACCTAGCATATTTCTAAATGTTATTTCTCACTCAAAAGAAGAGTGCTTGTAACAGTAAATTATTCCAGAGCCTATAACATCTAACAATGGCAGTAGCCGAGAAAGTACTCAAAGACTAAAACTGTCAAGTCAAGATGACAAAAAAACTGCTTTAAAATGACTACAAATTTGAAAAAAAAAGCATCATAAAGAATAATTATTTTTGCCTTTAAAATACTAATGATTCATAATGTTACAATGATACCCAATGACACAGAGAGATAATTTTGCCACCATTGAAGGAAACTATTAGATATCAATTTATTACTCTGAAATCAAGAAAGGGAAAATGCATTTACTCTGCCGAAGTTCTTTACCAGCTGATGAAGGAACACTCTTCTTCACAGAAGAACAAATGATTAAAGAAAAATAAAATAAAACAGAGTTAGAAAATCACCATTTTGCAACATTCAATGAAATAACTCAGGTAATAATCAATGGATGCTAAAATTATTAGTAAAATATTTGGGGAGAATGGGATATTCACATAATCCCAAAGCATCAACTTTCACAGATTATTTGCTAATTTCTTTCTCTTTCTTTCTATCTCTCTCTCTCCTTCCTTCCTTCCTTCCTTCCTTCCTTCCTTCCTTCCTTTTGACAGAGTCTTGCTCTTGTAGCCCAGGATGGAGTTCAATGGCACAATCTTGGCTCATTACAACCTCCACATCCCAGTTTTAAACAATTCTCCTGCCTCAGCCTCTTGACTGGCTGGGATTACAGGCACCTGCCACCATACCTGGTTAATTTTTGAATTTTTAGTAGAGTCAGGGTTTCCCCATGTTGGCCAGGCTGGTTTTGAACTCTTGACCTCATGATCCACCTGCCTCAGCCTCCCAAAGTGCTGGGATTACAAGTGTGAGCTACTGTGCCCAGCCTATTTGCTAATTTCAACAGTAAGCATATCTTAACAGCGGAAACACCTTGCAATCATTACCTTAACAAAGCAATAGAAATGAGCATCACTAATAAAGATACAATACAGTGTTATGTGACTGTGTTGTTATAAGATAAAATGCTAAGTATACCATATCACGTATAAACTATTTTCACCAAAACTGTTTTGCTTAAATCTAACAAAGTATTTTATCTCAATTTTCAGGAAATTCTGGGGATAAAAAATTAAACAATACCACATGACCAACAGTAACTGAGCATATTAGTCTGGGTCCTTTCAAATGGCAGAGACCATGCAATAAATCTAGAGGGTAAATTTAATGTAAATAATTTTGAGGCTATTAATGGAAAATAACTTTAAAGATAAAAGGAAATCTCTAAGAGATACTCTACATTTGAGGGAGAGCACCCAAAACAGGACATCCCTGGAAATGGGGGTGTCCTTCCCAGTCTTGGCATTGACATCTTGTTGGGGAGGCTGCAGTTGTAGCCTACTGCTAGTGGAGAAGGAAGAAGTTTCCTTCAGTAACTAGGAAAGAAGGAAATAACTTCCCAGGTGAAAAGGAATGGGGGTTAGTGGGCTTGCTCACAGAGGGAGCTGAGCCATTGCTGAGAGTCTAAGGCCTAGAATGTGCAATGTCTTCAGAGAAAGGGCAGTGACAAGGTGGTCATCAGGCCTGAGGCAGGGCTGTGAAGTTGCTGAGGAGCTGCACACACTGGGTATGTGGATGGGGCAGGGAACCACCATATGTTTTCAAATCTGTCTTCACATCTCTGAACAACCATGCAGCAGGAATAAAAAAAAAAGAAAGGAAGAAAACCAAAATGCAGCACACTTGAAAAGAGAGAATCCATCTTTCTCCTGTGTGACCTCCAGCAACCTCTATTAACAATGCCGAAAATCATGTCCACTGTAAAAGAAAATGCTATCCAGTCCTGTATCTCAGAGGGGATACTAAAGTTGAATGTGGATTTGAGAGGCAATAAACTAATAATGGGCACATACACAAAGCCAGAATGAGGACCATACTATAACTGGCCTGGCCTTTTCAATGTGTCACTGTCATAGTAATAATAAAAAGCCAGATGAAAGGGCTATTCTAAATTGAAAATAGAATAAAATGACATAGCAAACAAATTCATATATGAACCTACATTGGATTCTGATTTAAAAAGTAGAATTAGAGAAGATAGTTGGGAAATTTTTAGTAATGTAATTGCATTAAGTAATATGAAATAGCTCATTTCTTTATGTGTGATAGTGGCATTGTATGTAGTTAGGAAAACGCTCTTTCTAAATTATTTAGAATTGAAGTGTCATGACAATTGTAATTTAGTTTTAAATGACTCATCAAAATGTGAATGTGATGTGTATCTGTTTGCTGTATATGTTGATAGATAAAGCAAACATTACAAAATCTTAGCAATTATGGAAACTAGGTGGTATGTAAAACACCTA